CTTGTTCCTTATTGGCTAGGTCTGTCTTAAGTAGTAACCCATTTCTATTAATCTAAGTACTTCCACGTGGTCTCATCTTAACAGAGAGTGGGCCAGGACCTTTGTTCTCTCCAGTCTCTCCATACTGACACCTCCTTACTATTCCCTGGAATCCTCCTTGTCTCCTAGCCCCACCTATCTTGCTTTTCTATTGGCCAACAGTGCTTTATTCATTAACCAGCATGAGAAACATATTTACAGAATGACATCTCCCATCAGAAGGGGGAAGAAAAAGGGATAGGAGGAGAAAGAGGACAAGGAAGAGTAAGAGGGGAAGGGAAAGAAGGATGGAAGAGAGATGAAGGAAAATTAAAGTCAATAGACCCATCATGCTCCTACTACTCACAAAGCATCCCCAAGCAGCTTATATATATACTTCCAGATCTTTTCCCCAGCACTGTTTAGCAAAATGAGATTTTGTAGTTGCTTCTTAGTTACTTTTGCCATTCCCTGTAAATTTCCACTTTGTCTAATACACACCCAAAATAAATGATGCCTAGTTTTCCCCAAAACATCCAATCAGGTGGGCTTATTCAAGCCCAGATCCAATCTCAGGCTACATCTTATTTCTTCTTACTTGCATTTGGACTCCTTCTTAATTAATTTTTTTTAGTAAAATGTTTCCTTACAATGTATTTTGATCATATTCCTTCCCCTTCTCCAAGTCCTCCCAGATACTCCCCCTCCCCCCTTTCAGGAGGTCTACTATAGAAATCCATGCAATCTGGTCAACATATTATTACACTGCAAGTGAAAGCTGTTGTTCCCTATTAGCAAAATGACAGTAAAACAAGCCTTAGAAAAAAGCACTCTTACAAGCTGATCCTACATTCCAAACAGCTGGACAAAACAGCCCTACAGACTACAGCTAGGATATCTGAATCTTCTTCGAATCCCCCAAGACAGCACCCCTTACCAGCAGGAAGTAGTTTGGAAAGAACGACGCCCAAATTCCCAAATATTGTGTATAAATGTTTTTCATTTAATTGGACTTTGTTATATAAAATTAAATAAAAAAATAAATAAATAAATAAAAAGAAAAGAAAAAAGCACTCTTTGCTCTCACTTTACAGCCTATTAATTCCTGTACTATACCACACTATCTTTGTGATTCTGCTTCCACTCTAAAAGTTTGGGTGAAAATCACATTCTTCTTAATGAACATCACATTTTGACTTCCTAAAGCTACATGGTACCACAGTACCTGTGAAAAATAGTCCTTCAGCATATCCTTTAAAATACCCAGTGTCTTACTTCAGGTATTTGCTACATAGCTGCTGTGTAGGGCTCATTTCAACTGCCAGAAGGTAGACTGCATTGTGACAGAGAATTTTATCAGTAATTGTGATTGTATTCAATGGAGCCAACCAATCTAAACATCAGTGCATGTGAAAAATGGAGATTAGTGCTGGCGAGCTGTCTCAGTGGTAAACAGCACTGTCTACACTTACAGAGGACCAGGGTTCAGTTCCCAGTACCCATATGACAGTTCACTTCCATGGCCCTGATCAGTCTAAAACGTCACGGGAAGCCGAAGCCTTTAATATGTGTGTGTGTGTGTGTGTGTGTGTGTGTGAGAGAGAGAGAGAGAGAGAGAGAGAGAGAGAGAGAGAGGGAGGGAGAGAGAGAGAGAGAGAGAGGGAGGGAGAGAGAGAGAGGGAGAGAGAGAGAGAGAGAGAGATGTCCCTCTCCCAACTGAGATGCAAAAACCATATCCCCTGCCATGCATGGAGTGGGGGTAGTGTTGGTTTGGCCAACTGCTGTAGTATTCCATAAATACAATCTTATCCTCCTACCATTGTAAACAAACCTGAGGTATTGCTGAAGACTATTATGCCTGCCAGGGGCCAAGTTCAGTGTAGCCCAAGGAGCTTGACTGTTACATCCTCAAATGAACACTAAGTAAGCACGGATTGCAGGGATATTTCATTTCTTCTGTCCCTTCTTTTTATAGCAGATTAAGCAATACATTTTAACCCAGCAGTTGTACTTTCTCAAGAGCCTACAGTGGGTTAGCCTAGCCCCGTGTTAAGTTCATATCCAAAGCACATCTAACAGCAGGCCTTATGGCCTTATGAGCCTTCATTTCCTTGTATGTGAAAAGATACACCATGTGCCAGGGTGCTATGAACCCATGAGTCAAGGAAGGGGTTCAGGCTTTGGAGTCAGTCATCCTACAGCAGTGGTTCTTGTCTTAGTTAGGGTTTCTAATGGTGTGACAAACACTATGACCAAAAGGCAAGTTGTGGAGGAAAGGGCTTATTAGGCTTACACTTTAGCATTGCTGTCCATCACTGAAGGAAGTTAGGACAGGGACTCCCACAGGACAGGAACCTGGAGGCAGGAGTTGATGCAGAGGCCAGGGAGGGGTGTTGCTTACTGGCTTGCTTCCCCTCACTTACTCAAGCCTGCTTTCTTATGGAATCCAGCACCACCAGCCCAGGGATGGCACCACCCACTGTGGGCTGGGCCCTCCCTTGTTGATCACTAATTGAGAATTAGTGAACTAATTGCTCTACAGCTGGATCTCATGAAGGCATTTTCCTCAACTGAAACTCCTTCTTCTCTGATGACTCTAGCTTGTGTCAAGATGACTTGCAAAACTAGCCAGTACAGTTCTCAGCCTTCCTAATCTGTGACTGTTTATTACAGTTCCTCCACCAATACAATCATTTCTAATGCTACTTCATAACTGTAATTTTGCTACTGTTATGAATTGTAATGTAAATATCAATGGTCCAAAGGGGCAGGTGGAACATAAGTTACAACTTGTGTAGACTGGATGTCATTGGAAGCTCCAGTGGCTTAAGGACCCTGAGAAGCCACAGTGGAGCAACTTCCTCCTAGAAGCACAGGAAGTCACCTCTCTTGCTCTGGGGAATACAGTGACTGGCAGGGACTCACGGGAGCTTTGGAGGGATGCAAAGGCTAGCCTAGCCATCCTGTGTCTTTTGTTCAGGACTGAATTCTAAACTTAAGGATAAGAAGCAGGGATCCCTCCCAGTTTCCCTCTGGCCATGAGTGTCTGGATGCTGAATTAAAAAAAAGGGGGGGGGGAATGGGAATGCTGGGGGATGTGGCTCCAAGACAGGGGACAGGGGACAGGGGTGGTGGCTAACATAAGGACAGATTGTGGGGTCATGGGATGGAGCAAGAGTAAGAAACTAGAAGGAGCTGGGGTGGCTGTTCTAGAAAAAAGGAAATACTTGAGGTCAGGTTCTAGACAAAACCTCTTATAGGTAGTGTTGGTGCCTGCTGCTTGTCTCCTCCAGGTCTCAGCCTGTGACCTCTTGCCAGTTCTAAGTGGATCATCGAATACTAACAAAATGACACCCCTAATACTGATGACACACCAGCCCCCTCTGCCACATGCTCTTACTCTCTCAAGTCTGTGGGGTCCTTATTTCCTACATGACAAACTTCTCAGGGTCTCAACTGTCTGACTCCACTTTACTCTCTCCACACACTGCTTTGCCCTGACAAGCAGATTGTGGTCCTTTGCCACTGTATGAATGGACTGGATTGGAAGGGATCTTATGTTGAATTGGGGTTTGGGGTCCTTGGGCTCCTATGCCCTAAGGTTTACAGGATGAGGATCGGGCCACTGTCAGAAGCAGAGCCTGCTGATACTAAGCTAAGAGCAAGTGCTCTCTTATTTCCTTAATCAGGGAGACAGCAGAGGGTAGCATCAGACCAGAGAAGAGAGCAGGACGCCCAGCAGCAGCAGCAGAAATATAAAGACGCTACCCAAAGGAGCAGGAATTGAATCACTGCAATTCCCATGTTAGGCTCCCACCTCAGCACTGGACTTCTCTGGCAGACTGCTCGAGTATTAGAGAAGACAGCAATGGAGATCTGTCAGTCATTCTGGGCCATAATTTGGCTCTTCAGGGCAGGAAAGCAGTCAGTTGTGGCAAAGGGATTCTTTGCTTTGGGAGATTTATTCAGCCTATTTCTATTTCTTTTTCTGTGTGTGTGTGGGGGGGGTCAGGATTAAGTCTAGAGCTTTATGTGTGCTAAACCAGTACTCTCTATTTATTTTTCTTTGTGTGTGTGTGTGTGTGTGTGTATGTGGTGAGGATTAAGTCTAGAGCTTTATGTGTGCTAAACCAGTACTCTATATTTATTTATTTTTCTTTGTGTGTGTGTGTGTGTGTGTGTGTGTGTGTGTGTGTGTGTGTGTGTGTGTGTGGTGGGGATTAAGCCTAGAGCTTTATGTGTGCTAAACAAATACACTCTGAATTTATTTTTCTTTCCGTGTGTCTGGGGTGTGTGCCCTCTCTCTCTCTCTCTCTCTCTCTCTCTCTCTCTGTGTGTGTGTGTGTGTGTGTGTGTATGTGTGGTGAGGATTAAGTCTAGAGCTTTATGTGTGCTAAACCAGTACTCTCTATTTATTTATTTTTCTTTATGTGTGTGTGTGTGTGTGTGTGTGTGTGTGAATGTGTGTGTATGTGTGGTGGGGATTAAGCCTAGAGCTTTATGTGTGCTAAACAAATATACCCTGAATTTATTTTTCTTTCCGTGTGTCTGGGGTGTGCTCTCTCTCTCTCTCTCTCTCTCTCTCTCTCTCTCTCTCTCTCTCTCTGTGTGTGTGTGTGTGTGTGTGTGTGTGTGTGTGTGTGTGTATGTGTGTGTTGGGGACTGAGCCTGGAGCTGTACACATGTTCAACAAATGCTCTGTCATTGAGCTACAGCCCCAATTCTTTTATTTTAATTGTAAGCCGGATCTAAGTAACTTTCCCAGTCTGGCTTTGAGCTCACTCTGTTGCTCAAGCAGACCTTGAACTCAAGATCCTCCTGCCTCAGTGTCCCAGGTATCTGGGATTATAGAAGTAGGCCACCACATCTGTCTTCTTTTTCACCTTCAAATCCAAAGTTTATTAAAAAAAAAACCCTTTATACCTTATCATATGTTTTCCTTTCCGTTTCCTTTCTAAAATAATAGCACAGAGACATAAAAGTAGATGCTGACACATATGTATTTATTTATTGACAAAGGAGACCACAATGTACTTTTTGGTGAAAAAATACAGCATATAGAACAACACTTCTATTTGATCACTTTTGTCTATCCACATATCTATCTAGGAACATAGGGGACAGAGAAATATGTAGAGGGATAGTCAGCAAAGGGTCGACAATTGTTACAGGGGGTAGAGAGTTCTGGGTAAGTTTTACTTTTTGAAATCATTTTCCTTCTGACTTGAAGGTTGAACAGTGAACAATAGCACTTTCACAGAGAGGATAAAGCCACCAAGGGGACAGGTGCACACGGATAGAAGCAGCCAGTGGGGACAGGGAACACGAGCATAGGTCAGGCCATTTCTCTCTGCTGTACTGATGTTCAAGGCCCTTTCTCCACCCCAAATGAAAATCATTTTGGATTCGTTCATGCGATTAGAAGTCTTTCCCTCCCACACAACGTTTCCATCATTGAACTCTGAATACAGGGAAGGGTTAATTCGAGGCTCTGGGATAGCATCTTACTGTGGCTCAGCATAGCCAAGGGGTTCTCCAAAGGCCTCTCTTGCCCTCTCCTCCTCTGTATGTGTCAGCTCCTGCAGGGTGATGATCAGATTCTCAAAAACCTGAGCTTTGTCATTCTCATTGTCACAGGTTTCTTTGGAGTGACCCTCCTCACCACAATGGACACAGTGGACTGAGTGTTTTCGCTTCCTGGTTCTACGCACCTCCACAAAACTATTGTTCTTACGCCCAGAGCCACTGCTGGTGGAAGGAACCTGAATCTCAGGAATGTTGGGGGACTCAATAACCAGCACTTGATCCTCAGATATAGCCCTGCCTAGGAAGGGAGAGGCACTTGAGGATGGCAATGGTGGGTCCCCAGACTCCACCAAGATCACGTCCTCATCTGAATCATCCGGAGAATCATCTATCTCTATCACGTTGCAGTCAGCACTGCTGATCAAAATTGGTGGGGAGCCCTGAAATGCCACAGGACTGAGTGCCCGCTCCATCATTGACTCAGATCTGGGCCGCTTCCGTCTAATAAAAGTGTCATCCCAATCCTCCTCCTCCCTTATCATCCTGATTAACTCCAGGAAATCGGGAAGGTGCTCTGGCTCATTTGCATACATCCTGAGAAGCCCCTTAAGCCTGAATCGAAGCTCTCTACTTAGCTCAGCCCCTACAAGGAGCTGGTGCAGGCGAGCCTTGTTTGCCTCTCTCTCAGCAAAGACCCCTGCCTGGATAGCATTCTGCAGCTGCACCTCTAAACGGATCACATACAGGGATGGTTTCTCTCCATGTGACTGCACAGTGTTGAAAAATTTACCATGGGCTGTCACACTGCTCTCAGACTCCCCAAAGACCAGTTTCATGGCCCGCAAAAAATCTGCCACATTTAGAGTAGGATTGGCAGCATGGAGCAAACGCATGACCTCCCGGGCAGGGCCCCTAAGGGTTTTCATTAGGCGTCTGACCTTTTCTTCCTCAGGCATATGCCATTCAGGCAGGACCCCAGTGACCTGGCTCAGCCAGTTATCAAAGGTTTCTTCACCTGGTGCTGGCTCTGCCCTCCCAGAGAACATCCTCATGTTTCTGTCTGCCATGTTGGCCATTAAAGGACCAAGACTCCTCCCCAGGGACCTCAGCATGGAATGAGCCCAAGGTGGCAAGGGCGAGTTCTGCCCCCGGCTGTTACCCATGCGTGCAAGGATGCTAGCCATGTCTAACAATGGCGATAGGATATATTAATACAAGGTGCTCAGGACGGTTCAGGAAAAAATGCGTTCTCTTCAGTCACGCAGCAGTCTCCAATCTCTGCAATAAATAAATAAATAAATAAATAAATAAATAAATAAATAAATAAATAAAATGGGAGGGAGGAATTAACAGGCTACAATTGTAATTATCTTAGCTTGATAGCCCATATATCTGTCCACTGTCCTAAAAATACTGGGAAGGAGACCAATTTCAGCCTCCTGGAGCTAGCTGATATCTGTACTAACAGTGCTTTATACAACCACGTCATCCATGCCCTCCCGCCAGTCCTGTGAGAGGGAGGGCAACTGTTGCTTCGTTCTAGACTTAACCATGTGTGGAACTGAGGTCGGACTCTCAAGATAAAGCAGGGGTTAAAAAGTGATCTCACGATCTCTGGTTTCAACCCCACTGCCCCTCTCAAAGCTCCCAGACCACCACCCTAGCCCTCCACCCTGAGATTTCTCGGATTCTTACACTAGCTAGGAAGCTGGAGTCTTTATTCCAGCCTCTGCAACCTGTGTCCTCCCGTGAGAAAGCTCTCCTCCAGGGTACAGTAGATCTCTGTCCACAGGGGTCGCAGATCCTGGTGCTCAGGACTTCGAGACTGCGCCACATCAGAGGGAAGGGAAGGGTCAGAAACAGACTCCATCGTCATCGTCTTCCCGACACTCCCTCCCCACTCCCTCTCTTCTCCCGCCCCCTTCTGCTGTCACCAGGCAGAAAATTCCCTCTCCCACCTTCTGAATACAATCCAAACGAAATCTCCCCCCAATCACGTACTGCACCCCGAGACCATCAGCCTACCCAGCTCTAACAATCAGCTGCACCGAATTCAAGTTCAGATTTCCGCTTTGATGGGCTGCTACTGAGAAAGGGAATATGAATTGGACACACCCACCCCCACAGTGCCCAGGGACATTAGAGGAGATGGATAGGGAATTTGAGACAAAAATAATTCCTTCTCCCTCATCCTCCAGGTAGCCTCTTCCCCAACCCCTTCCCTGGACAGGCAAATCCTACCAAGTGTCATCTTCCAGGTGAATCCCAAATCAGTCACGCCATGTCAATGGTTCTTCTCCAGCTTCGCAACTGCTGATTCTCCCAGGCAGGAGCTGCCTGGTACCCGCGGGCTTTCCCCTCCCCCCTTCCCCCTCTCCGCACCAAGGAATCGCGCCCCCCCCCCGCTTTTTTAACCTGCAATCCTCTGATATCCAGCAGCTGTAGCGACGTCTTCAGCTACACATTCCACCTTTCAGTCCGGTCACCCTGCAGGAGAAAGGGGTTGGCACCTCCGGGGCCGCTAGGCGACCCGAAGCTGCCAAAAAGAGCTGCTTCACCCAGCCACCTACCCAGAGGTAACAGGATTCGAGTAGCGCAGTTCCCAGGGCAGCTGCAGTGCTTTTATCAGCTGCCCACCCACACAAAAGAGCGTGACAAGCACGCCAGCAGAGCCAATCAGTGGAGTGTGGGGGCGGTTCCCAGCCCAAGCGGTGGGAGGGAGGGGGGCGGGGGGGGGAGCAGGGAGGGAAGAAGGGGGAAAGACGCAACAGGCCCTGGTAGCCAATGCTTTTGGGCTACTTCAGAGAGCTCATTTGCATTATGCTCCCAGGGTTTGTGACTCCCTCCCCGATTCCCTTCTGCCTCTCCCTTTGTCCCTTTTGTGTTTTGAAGCTAGACATGTATTACATCAACCGTGGAACCCAAATCAGGTAAAACAGAAACAGGGTCGGCATCGGGCTCCTTCGATGGCTGCCTCAGAATTGTTTGGGGAATTGGTCAGGGTGAAGTACATCTGTAGTCCAGCTCTCTAGGAAGGGAGAGGCAAGTGGCTCAGAAATTCCATGCCAGTCTGAGCTAATGACCCTGTTGAAAGAGGTATTTTGAAGATACCTGTGATGGCCTGTGGCTGTATTCACTGCACTTGGGAGGGGTGGCTAGGAGGATCAGGAATTTAGAACCAGCTTTAGCTACATAGGGAAACAGAGTCTCACACTATATCCCAGGCTGGCAGGGAACTCCCAATGAAGCCCAGGCTGACCTGGAGCTAGTGACAATCCTCCTGTCTCAGCCTCTCAACTATTGTTATTACAGACATGAGCCACCATGTCCAGCTTAAACATTGCTGAACGTTACTACAAAGAATGTAATTTCTTTGATCTTTGTTATAAACATCCTTTAAAGTATGCTTGTTGTTGTTTCTGGGGATGAGCAAACTGCTGGGAGGGGACCATCAGTTTCCTGGGATGACAGTTGTCAGATCTTTCCCTTCTACCTGTCTGCCTTGAAGTGGTCCCTTTGACAACAGCCAGACTACACGCAAGGCAGCCCATCTACTTTGAACAGCCATATCCCTCCAAGGAAACCCCACTCCTGCTGCAAGAGACCCTGCAAGCATAGGTACTTTGGGGGAAAGGTACTCCTCCTCCTTCAGGGGGCTTTGCCCTCTGATTACAACTTCTCCAGGCACTTGCCGGGATTTGGAAGACTCCATTCGTCCTCAGTGCAAGAATACTTCTCCCAGCATTTGTTTAGCTCAGCGCAGGGGATCACCTGTCACTGCATGTGTAAAGCTCATGCCTGGCAGAACTGAGAGCTTTACATATGCAAGACTGTGGCTGGTGGATTATAATCCCAGCATGATTGTGTTATGTGCCTTTTCTACCGATGTCGCCAGGCATTTTCGCACTTTTGTCAGCTTAACCCCAGATGTGTCTCTGGTGTACTTTCCCTGGTTTAGGGCATCAACCCGAGCATATGCTTCCCCCAGATGGTCTTTCATTGCCTACAAGTGGCCGTTATCACTGATACAGCAGGCTGAGCTGGTAACACCAACAGCTGACAAAACATGGGCTTCTAGGCCCAGACATCCGGCTGCTACTGGAGCTATAGCAGCCGGAGAGTGATTCCTGATGCTATAAGCCCAGAATCCTGGAGCTAATGAGCCCTTGTCTCACTCAGTAGCCAAGAGGTGACTGAAGAGCTCCAGAGAATGGCCAAGAGCCAGAGACTGCAGAGACTATGAAGGACTATAAAAACATTACTATAGGCTGCATAGTTTTCTGAGATATAAATTTTTAAGTTGGCCTCAGTCACTAGTGCTTATAAAATATTCCTGTACTATATCTTCCTGAATTATCTTCCTCCTTCATGGATGTGAAATAAAACCCAGTCTAGGTCAGGCGGGACAAGACATGGCTGCAATTCCACTTGAGAGGTATAGTCAAGAATATCAGAAGTTGAAGATCATCTTCATCATCACAGTCACTTCAAGGACAGCCTGGACTGTGTGAGAGTCTGTCTTAAAAAAAATGGAACAGATCATAATGGGACTAGACTACCCAATGACAGTGCTAGAACTCTGCCACTCATGGAACTCTGGGGTTTCACTTCAGTTGCTGTGTTGTCCTTCTCTGGCCTCTAAGATGACTTTTCTTCTGATTGACTTCACTGGCCCCAGGGAGGAGCAGCTCCATGTCGTGGGCATAGAGAAGATGGTTGTGTGGTGGTTGGAATGAGAATGGCCACCATAGGCTCGTACATTTGAATGTTTGGCCCTGTTAGAACAGTTTTGGGAAGGATTAGGAGGTATCATCTTGTCGGAGGAGATTGGCCACTGGGGCCAGGCTTTGAGGTTTCAAAAGCCCCCTCCATCCTAAGTGTTGCTTTCTCTGCCTGCTGCTTATGGAACAGATGTAAGCTCTTAGCCACTGCCCCAGCACGCGCCATGCTTGCTCACCTTCTGCCTTGCTCACTTTCATGCTGGTCGTGGATGCACTGTCTGAAATGGTAAACAAACCCCTAATTAAATGGTTTCTTTTATATGTTGCCTTGATCATTGTGGTGGTTTCAATAAGAATGCTTCCATGGATTCATATATTTGAAGAGTTGGTCATCAGGGAGTGGTTTTATCTGAGAAGGATTAGGAGGTGTGATCTTGTTCAAGGAAGTGTGTCATTTGCTGTGGGCTTTGAGGTTTCAAAAGCCCATGCCAGACCTAATCTCAGCCTCTCTCCCTCTCTCCCTCTCCCTCTCTTCCTTTCTCCCTCTCCCTCTCTTCCTCTCTCTCTCTCTCTCTCTCTCTCTCTCTCTCTCTTTCTCTCTCTCTCTCTCTCTCTCTCTCTCTCTCTCTCTCTCTCTCTCACACACACACACACACACATTCCTACAACTCAGAATGTAGCTCTTAACTACTTCTCTAGCACCATGTCTGCCTTCATGCTGTCATGATCCTCACCATGGGGATAAGGAACTAAACTTATGAAACTGTAAGCTAGCCCCACTTAAATACTTTCTTTTATAAGGGTTGCCTTAGGGGCTGGAGAGATGGCTCAGAGTTAAGAGTGCTGGCTGTTCTTCCAGAGGTCCTGAGTTCAATTTCCAGCAACCACAAGGTGATTCACAACCATCTGTAATGAACTCTGGCGCCCTCTTCTGGCCTGAAGGCAAAAATGGAGGCAGAATACTGTGTTCTGAGCACCCCCCCCCCACCAGCCTGGTCCCAGCTATTTTGAATGTTGGATCACCTGGGACACTGCTTCAGGGGTTACACAATAAGTAATTAGTTAGTTGTTTGCTTGTTTGTTAGTTAGTTAGTTTGTTTGTTAAGCTAGCTAACCTTTAAAAAAATAAAGGAAAAAAAGAAAAAGGGTCTCCTTGGTCAGGTTGTCTCTCAGAGCAATCAGAACAGTGATCAAGACAGTCATGTGCCTCTTCCCAGCAATAGTACAGTAAGTAAGACAAGTTGTTTACTTCACATAGTTGGGCGAGGCTAGCTGCAGCTTGCAGGCTTTTTCAGGCTTTTGTTTCTGTGCCCCAGGACTATGACACCTGAATCTGGCCCCTAAGCAGAATCTTCTTCTGCCTTTGAGATAGCTTTCTTACCCGATGAGGTGCTGTGCGGTGGGTCCTGATGGCATCAAACTAAGTAAACATGAGATATGAGACGTTGACTTTAAAAAAAAATGCTGGTCATAAACAGATTTCCAGGTTAGATCACCAGAAGAACCAGGGCCTCTTCTTGTGAGGCTAGGAGGGACACTT